TTGTAGCGAACCACTGTAAAAACCCCATTACAAGGATTTGATCAAGGACCAACAATGTCGGAGCCCAAGAAAACCAAGTACGATCGTCAACTCAGGTATACTCTCTTCTTCTCCTCTGTATCATCAATTCGTGATTTTTGTCGGAAATTTCTGGATGATTGAGAGAAGAAGAACAAATTTGTTTGTAGGATTTGGGGAGAGCAAGGGCAAACAGCTCTTGAAAACGCGAGCATCTGTTTGCTAAATTGTGGACCTACTGGCTCTGAAACCCTCAAGAATCTCGTTCTCGGTGGAATCGGAAGTATCACCATTGTCGACGGATCCAAAGTAGAGATTGGTGACCTTGGAAACAATTTCATGGGTATTATTCTCTTTGCTTTCTTCTCTGTGTGTGTATTTGTTATGTTATTGGGAACTTACTTTGTCAATTTGGTGATTGTTTTTGATGGTATATAAGTGGATGAGAAGAGTGTTGGTCAGTCAAAAGCCAAGTGTGTTTGTGCCTTTCTTCAAGAGCTTAACGATGCTGTTAAATCCAAGTTTATCGAGGAGAATCCAGATACTTTGATATTGACAAACCCGTCTTTCTTCTCTCAGTTCACTCTCGTTGTGGCTACTCAGGTACACAGAGAGTTCTCTAGGCCCTAAAGTATTAAACTTGTCTAAAGAAAGTGTGTGTGCACATATAATCAACTGTTTTCAGATTTTGTACATGTTACTTTTGGTCATTCGGAGAGCATTGCCTTATTATTAGTTCTCTCCATGTGTTGATGATTGTAGCTAGTGGAAGATTCAATGGTGAAACTAGATAGAATCTGCCGAGAAGCAAATGTCATGTTGGTTTTTGCTCGCTCCTATGGCCTTACTGGGTTTGTTCGTATCAGTGTAAAGGTAATATTATTGTAGTTGAGTGTTAGTGGCACTGCTCATGGTATGTCTGCTCAATTCATATCTTTGCTTTTCTTATCAGGAACACACTATTATCAATTCAAAGCCTGATCATTTTCTTGATGACCTCCGCTTGAATAATCCATGGCCTGAACTCAAGAGGTACTCTTGCTTCCATTTCTTAACTCATTACGTTTTGTTGGCATTTGTTAACCTTGTGGATTGAGTAGGAGGTAATATGAGTCAAATTAGTTTTATTATAAAAATGTATCTGATGGGTTTGCATGTTGCTCAACCTGTACTGGATAAAATCTTAATTATTCAATAAACGGCAGGTTTGTGGAGACCATTGATATAAAAACACCAGATCCTGTCGTTCATAAGCACATTCCCTACGTCGTCATTCTTGTCAAGATTGCTGAAGAATGGGCTCAAACCCATAGCAACAACCTTCCCTCTACCAGGGAAGAGAAGAAGGAGTTTAAGGTATCCTTACTTTTTGTTGCTCAGCAAAGAGTTAGCAGAGCTTACTACTTGTCTTGTGATTCTTTGTTCCAGTCTAATTCCTTTTCCTTGAAATCTTAGGATTTGGTTAAGTCTAAGATGGTATCGATGGATGAAGATAACTACAAAGAAGCCATTGAAGGCGCTTTTAAAGTTTTTGCTCCTAGAGGAATAAGTAAGTATTCATGTTGGAAAAATTGGTTGGACAATCCGAAAACTGCACCAAGAACCAAACGAACAACTTTCAACTATCTTCATGAACCATGACTGTTTGCTAATCGTTGCCTATGCATCTTGATTATATTCATAAATAGAATTAGTAAACATTAGAGATAAAATGTGAAGTCATTTCTTTAGTAATTACCAAGAAAAAGTCGTCCAATTACTATATTTCTCACATTGAACTAAATCTGTTTTGTTCCTTCAGGCCGAGAGATTCAAGAAATTATCAATGATAGTTGTGCTGAAGTTGGCTCAAAATCTTCAGATTTTTGGGTAATGGTAGCAGCCCTCAAGGTTTGTAACTTGAAAGTCCTTACATTAAAACTCATACCTATTGTTATATCAAAACTGGAAGTAGTTGAGAACGCGTGTGTTGGGTTTGATAGATTAGATTGTTTTCTTTGTTCCATGTTGGCTTTTATCTACTTCTCATGGACATGAATGCTTACCTTACTGACTATATGCATCACCTGCAGGAGTTTATTTCAAATGAAGGCGGTGGGGAGGCACCACTTGAAGGTTCCATGCACGATATGACCTCTTCGACAGAGTTAGTTCTCCTGTTCTTTCGTTTGAGAGGAGGGTTGTAATTCATCCTTAAACCTTTATCAAATTATTATATAGCTGATTTTTTGTCTTTTGCAGGCACTACATCAACTTGCAGAAAATATACCAAGCCAAAGCTGAAGCTGATTGTCTTTCCATGGAGCAAAGAGTGAAAAACATTCTAGTTAAAGTCGGTCAAGATCCAAGTAGCATCTCAAAGCCAACTATCAAGGGCTTCTGCAAGAATGCAAGAAAACTAAAGGTAAGAATGATGCATACTGCATGATTAAACGATTGAACGTTTTTGAGTAAAAGTAAAGCATTGGTATATGCACCTTGTAGGTATGCAGATATCGTATGATTGAGGACGAGTTCAGCAATCCTTCTGTAACAGAACTGCATAAGTGTTTAGCTAGTGAGGACAGGTGCGAATGTTTTATCGAAATTAATCTTTTTCATATAACCACAGAAACTGTGAAAACAAAAGTATATTTGCAGAACTGGGAAATAATTTTCACAGGTTGCAGCAGTATGGAGACTTGTTGTTAGCTCTTAAGACTCTTACCAATTTTTCTGTTTACTCCTCTCGCAGTAGCGCTATTGGATTTTACATTCTTCTTAGAGCTGTTGATATATTTTCTGCGACCTATAAGAAGTTTCCCGGACAGTTTGATGGGTAAGAGAACACCTTCTGGCAAAAGAGAATAGTTTTGGCATTGTTAGGCTATTAAGATGTCTCTTCTTTTTTTGTAGAGAAATGGATGAGGACGCATCCCGCTTAAAAACTATTGCCCTGAGTCTTCTTAGCGAAATGGGTTGTAACGACTACATACTTCCAGAAGAGCTTTGCAATGAGATGTGCAGATTCGGTGCCGCAGAGCTTCATGTGGTTGCTGCTTTCATAGGAGGAATCGCATCTCAAGAATTGATCAAGGTTTGGCTCATACCCCTGTCTCTCAAAATGGCTACTGCAGTATCAAATGTGTTGGATAGACATTTTTATCCAATGTTTTTATGGTTTCCCGATGTTTGCAGCTCATCACGAAGCAGTTTGTTCCAATGTTGGGAACTTTCATCTTCAACGGCATTGATCACAAGTCTCAGTCTTTGACATTATAGAATATTCTTAGACAGTGGTGGCTGGAGAGAACTCCAACATATCTTTTCTCTGGATCAAGGAACCATTCACTGGTTGGAGTTTTCATTTCTGCCATGCACCAGACTGACTAGACCTCATTTCTCTTTAGGAACAGTTTCGAATTTTTCATGTAATGTATATTTTGATTCTTGAGCCGCGGTTCAAAACCGAAGAGCTCGTGTTAAGTGATGGCAAAATGCTGTTATCGTTTTGACTAAAACAAATGAAAAAAGTCTACAGAAGAGTACAACAAACTAATGATTTAGACTCATCTCCTCGCCGATGGACAATCCAAAGTAGGGAAAAGATACAGAGGTCTACAGACGAATACAACAAACAAATGATCCAGCCTCGTTTCCTAGCTGATGACAATCCAAAATTGGGAAAAGAACAGAGATGAAAGAGAAACAGGCGAAGCTAGAAGATTTGAGTTACTCGGCAGATATTCTCTTTGTAGGATTATAAACGCTGAATTCGCCAAAGTCTCTTCGGCCACTGGTAACAAAACAATCAAACCCTTTTAAAGAACAAGGTCCAAGCAAATTTACTTCCGAGCAAGTAAAAGCAAAGGTAGTTTGACAATTACGTTTACCTGTGACTAACATTCCAGCCACCAGGCAAATGGCGAGGATGAACAGCATCAACAAAGACTTTTCTCCATCTTTGGCAGAGATCTCGAACGCCATCCTCTCCATATTCCCTTAATAGATACTCTACAATCTGTTTCCCGTGCGGTCCATGTCCTAGCAAAGAGAGTTTCGAGTTCTGTTGGTGCACCATATTTCCGTTACATTGAGTATCATTTAGCTCCGTTACTCCATCTCCCCCACTTGTACCATCAACAACGATGCTGCTTTCTGCATTCATATCTTTCTCAGAACCTGCAGGAACTTCCACACCTTCTTTTTCAACTGAAGACATTAAGCTGTTTGCATCAGTATCTGTGGCTGTACAACAATGGATCATTATCTATTAGCCTTTATAAACGAAAACAGCTTTCAATGTACCTTGACCACTATTTATCATATGGTTACCGTTGTTATGAGAAGCTTCAATAGAATGTTTGAGGGAGACTCCTTTCTTTCTTTCGAGTTTTCTTCTCTCGTGAGGGCTCAACCCGATGAGTAAAGCTCTTTCCAAATCTTCTTCGGATACGTCCCGTCCACCATAGTAAATCTTGACAGTCTATACTCAAAACCCAAAGCAAGCATCAATAATATAATGTTTAGTTCAAATCAACTGCTTGAAACAATTAGATGAGTCATCACCTGCAACAATTCCTCACGGCGAGTTGATGGCATTCGGTTCCCATGACGCAAGAGCGCCATTGCAGCTGTTCTAAGATGTAATGGAGAGACGCCTGCATCTTCACAGTTTTCAGTTGATTCATGCTCCATTGAAGATGATGTCCCTTGTGCTTCTTTTGAATCGAGTACTCTACGAACAAACAGAGGAATTCCAAATTCTGTAGCGATTTGTTTCTTGTACCTCTCTGCAGCAGCATGCGCAACTTCATGGCAATCCACACAAAGTAGAACAATATCGTGGGATCGATGACTTTTCAGGTGTTCTGGAAAATGAACTCTATAGCACGAAGGTATTATCCGGTAACGCAGATAGTGATTCCCTTCCCCACATCCAACACATATATTCCTCTTAGTCTGGATATAAAAATCATTTCCTTCATCTTCTGGACGTCCTTTGGGTTCGAACAAAAGCATTATTGCTGGTGGAACTTCTTCAACTAGTTTCGCAAGACCGCGATTCAAGTACCTGGAATATATAACAAAGAGAAAGATATAAATTAGATGGGAGACTCTTGAATCAAGAGAAACTAATGAAGTGCATATACAATATAAATCATCTACCATTCAAGTTTTCTTCTATCGCAATAACATAACAATCGTCCATCATTTGCGTATATTCTACAATTGTGATAAACGGGAGCTTTGCAAGAAAATTTCTTTACAAAAATCTCTCTTGATGCCTTCCGAGTAAATTGCTTCAACTTCTTATCTCTATTTTGCTTTGGAGCAGAATGGCTGGTTAGTTTCGTCTTGAAATTTACCAAAAGGGAATAGTTGAAGATAGAAATTGGACAGGTTCCATTTGATCCCAAGCATTTCTGAAGAACCGCTGGTAAAATAGCATCCAGCTTAACCAACTTGTCCTGAGTCATTTGATATACATCATCCAAATGACTACAAACAACTTCAGATGGGGACTGATTTGAGAAACTCATGCTCGGAGAAGACTCAATAGCCAAATCAGCTTGAGCTATTGCATCATATATATCTTCAGTTGTAGTTGGTTGCTTCTTAGCAAGAGCAACAATAGCTTGGTCAGATAACACATATCGCGTGCTTTCATCATGAACTCGTGCCTGAAAAGAAATAATCATGTTCACTTGCATTAGAATAAGAAAAAGTGTTCTACAACTACAACATTTTGAAATGTATAACTACTCACCATTAAGTCTCTCCATGCACAAAGTTCTCTTACAAACTCCTGAAACTGAAAAGGCAAAGATCAACATGATGTTTCGGTATATAATTGGATACACATAATGTGGTGACGGGAATAGATACCTCTGCATCGACAGAGATGGTAGAGTTATCTCCATAACCATTTAAATGTCGATAAATTAGTGAGGAAGCAGCCGCATTCCCAGGAAAATCTTCAATTTCTTTTGTGTACAATTGCAAACAAGTCATGTTTGACCGCCTACTAGCCTCGAGAAGAAAATGGAATTTATCATCGGGGCTAGATGAATCTTCTGATACATTAATATTTTAGAACTTTGTTGCATAAATAAAACATTATATTTCTTTAAAAATCATGTTTTCTCGATCGATAATATTATCGAGTTAGCTTTAGTTTTGCGTCACACAAAAATATTTCAACATGGTAAAGATACCTACCAATGGCTAGTTGTTTGAGCTCTGTAGCCAAACAATCCGCAATATAAAGCAGATAGTGTGCATCTGTTCTGGCATATAATATCATTTCTTCCGATAGTGGACGTTGTCTCCAATCTTCACGCTTCAATCGCAAATATGAATCAAGCCTTAGTATAAAAGGATTGCGGAGAAAAAAAAAAAAAGACAACAGAGAAAGAACCAATTTTATAACGTTAGGGGACTCACCTGGAGCAATTTGTTAGTAGACACTCCACATACTGTCTCAAGTAAGTATGCGAGCGACCTTTGAGGCTTTGACAACACCTCACATGCCTGATTTATAAACCATTTTTAGAAATCAACAACAATAATTTCATGTCCTACTTACTATCTAAACAAAAACATGAGAGTATAGGGAATAATAATGAACACATTTTATCTAAACTGACCAAGTTCACAGAAGGGTCTTTATTTGATGCTAATCACTCCAAATAGGCTTTCACTCATGCCAAAGCTCTCAAAATTTAAAGCAGGACATAGAAATCTATACCTTGGCAGTATCAAACATATTGACAACATATATATGGAAGTCTCTTTGAAGCCAGAGAACATCGTTGTCAGCCCCGTGAAACACCTAGAAGAAAAATAATCACATGTTAATGTTCGAATTAGCATGTAGAAGTTTGGTGGGACTTTCTTTACAAGGTTATTTAAAAATCTGAAACAATCAAGCCAGTAGATTCAATAGAAATCATTTACTTTGCAAATACGAGGATCGGAGAAAACAGGACGAAGAATACTCATTGCATCATGTAATGCAATCGTATCCACCAAAAAGTCTTCCTCATGTGTAGAAATCTGCAAGTTTCATAGAT